ACCGCCTCCCTTCTTGAGCCTCAGAACAGTCCTGAGAAGGAGGGGGCTGCCGCTGTCAGCTGCCCCACACAGAGGCGTGGCCACTGTGACCCATTCTGCTCCTTGGTTTTTCATTTGGCTTATTTGTTTTGATCAGGTTCACCAACATCCAACTCACAAGGCGCGCCTTTCAACTGCTCAATACATTAATCAGAGTTGTGCAATCATCGCCACTATCAATCCCAGGACAATCCTTGTTCCTTGTCCTCATTGTTGTTAGTATTCCTTCGCCTGCCAGCCTCCCCTCCCTCTGCAACTATCAATCCAGTTGTTGTCTCTACGGGTTTATCCCAGGCTTCGGGCTTCGTATATAGAAAAATATACAAAAATCAAAACAAAACACAAATGACCCAACACCAATGAAACGGAGAAAAACCTCAATCGAAAACAAAGAAAATGTTCAAGACTGGAAAAATTATACATTGGATCAAAAGGAGATCAAATGATTAGTGTCGTATTATAACCTAACTACAATTGCGGTAAGCCTCCCCACAATGTCCTCTGTCTGATAACACGGCCTTCTCCACCCCCACCCATAGGCAGAGGGGATTCACCTGAGGCTTGATCTGCATGGGGGACCCTGTGAATGGGTGTTGGGCTTTCACTGTCCTCCGTAGCCTTCCACAAAGTGGGTATTCAGAATTTAGGCTCTAATACCATTTTTTCCTCCACGTTTGCTTTTTGTTGCTTACAGTTCTTGGATCACACAGGCCGGTGTGTTGGTTCCATGTGGACTTAGTTAACAATTCACTTAGATGGCGCCCAGGCACTATTCTTTCTGATAGCGGGGCACCGTCTGCTTTCTTCACCATGCTTTGCTACAGAGTACCCGTACTTCAGTGATCACTTCATGGTATTGAATAGGACCATGTCATAAGAACTAAATGTTTTTGGGTCAGGGCTATGATAAAGCGTGAGCTCAAAATCCATTCATATATCGGTGGTTTATGTATGTCCCTGGTTCACCTTTAAGACATCTTTATTATTTTGTTGAAGGGCATTATAAATGATCCCCTTGGGGCATATGGTAGTTCTATTGATCTTACCATTAATTTGGCCAATGATATAGATCTGTTGATCTTACCATAATTTTGAATGATATAGAATTCAAAATACTGTCTAGAAAAAAAGTAGCAGAAGGTTCTTATGGGATGATTTTTCAGAAGTCAACTTCTAGGCCTTTCCTTCTAGTCTGTCTCAGTCTGGAAGCTCCTCTGAAACTGTTCAGCTTCATAGCAACAAGCAAGCCACCAATGAAAGGTGGGGGTGGCTGCGCTTGAGGTGCACAGGCCAGGACTCAAACTCAGTTCTCCTAGGGAAGGAGAGCATTCTACCACTACAGACTGCCCCTCGTAACATGGACACCCGGAGGTGCAGACAGAGGGTGCTTCTTGAATGCAGCCTGTATTTCTCAGGGCTGGGGCTAGGCTCACGGTTTCCACTTCTCTTTGGAGAGAACTAGAGGCTGGATGGAGCAGGGCAGAGGTCCCACCCACCACCCCAAGGACCACTCCCACTCCCCCCTCCCATTTCTGGAAAGGCCACTGTTCACATAGAGCCCAAACCCACTGCCAGGAAGCAGGCTCTGGCGCAGAGTGACCCTGCAGGACACAGCAGAATGGCTCCACGGCACTGTAAATCTTTATGGAGGCAGACTGCCTCATCTCCTCCCCCAGAGCGGCTGGCAAGTTTTGAACAACTGACTTTCTGGCTGGCAGCCCAATGCTTAACCCAGCACACCACCTAGGACAGAGATGCCTATCTGACGAGTACAGGCTGCTCTCTTCCGTCTCAACTCGCACTGTTCTCTGTGCCTGAACTTCTAGCATCCCTCGGGATACAGCCCCAACACCCCCTCCGAGGGTCTGTTCCCGCTCCGGACCAGCTACTTCCAGCTGTCTCCTTCTCGGCCAGTGCTTAGTGTCCAGCTTTCTCCCATAGACAGTGGCCTGGTTTGTGTCGTATGTCTGTTTCAGGAGTCTGCCAATGACAGTGCACTCATCTGCTAAAGGCTGAGGTTCAAGTCTACCCAGAGGCTCCTCAGAAGGAAGGTCTGCCAATTTGCTTCCAAAGAATCGGTCACTGAGAAGCCGAAGGCGTTCACGTCTACGGACACACAATGGGCTCCATGCACCTACCAACAGCAGTATACAGATGCCCCCAGTGGCCAATTTCAGTCCCGGACCTGGCTGAGGGAACACTTCCAGACTTGGCTCCAGCACCCATTTCTGGGCCTGGCGCCCAGTACAGGGCAGGCACAGCAAGCACTCAGTGGGGGGGGAGATTGCTCTTGAACCAACTCCCTGTGGAAACCGGGCAGGAGGGGCCCCTCGCACTTACCAGGTTGAAGGCTCCCACGCCGAGCTTCACGCCCCCTTCAAAGTGCCTGTGGTTCTCCCCCTTGCAGTACTGTGAGGACTGGACCAGGCTGTCCAGCTCCCTGTAGAGAGGCGCCGGCCCAGGTCAGCGCCCTGCCGGGGTTGGGCCCCAGCTCTGGTCACACTTAGAGCTCCCTCCCAAGCTAGTCCCGCAGCTCCCTGGTGGCAGCCGGTAACAGCCTGGCAAGGTGGAGAGCTGGAGAGCCATCCCCACCTCCCACCAAGACAACACACTCCTTGCCCCTGAATTTCAGCCACATTGGCTGGGCCATAGCAGCTGTGTCCAAGTTCTGCAGTTATTCTCAAAAAATGGTGGCTCTGGGTCTTCCTCCTACATCAGCCTCCACCTAACCGCCCCCCCCCCCCAAACACATAAAGTGCTTTGTGCAGAATCTATGTTTTATTTTCTCCTAGCATAGGGTCAGACACACATGAGGCCCTCAAGGACCGAATGAACAGACACAGCTAGACACCAGAAGGGAGGAGAGTTCCAGAAAGCGGAGAGGCTGAGTGTGTAGAAATCTGCCTGGGGTCACACAGCTTCTCAAGCCCCAGGCAGCAGCCTGAGGGGCTGCAGATCCCCAGCCTCTTAATATGCCCCGGGGCCCCACTCACTTATAGGTCTGGTAGCTGTTTCGGACTTTGATGCCACCTTTGATGAAGCTCACCATGTTCTCATCCTGCAGGGGGAGAGATGCCGAGAGGTAGACCAGCATGCATAGCCGTGGGGCTGATAGGGGTCAAGCAAGGCTCTGGGTCCTGCCTGCTTTTCCTGTGCCCAGCTGTGTGAGGCACCCCAAGGGGATGGGACCAGGGATGGGACGAGGGGGCAGCCACACATGAACTCATGGCCCTGCGATTGCAGATGAGTTCTTACTTATCAAGCACAACTTCTAAAACGCCCAGGGCTCGGCCACACACCCCATTTGCCGCCCCTGTTCAGTTTGCACGTAGCTGTGTTCTTGGAGAAGGGTCTGAGGGAGACCCAGCTGAGTGTTAGCGGGGCCTCCTTCTTGGTGAGGGGAGTGCGGGAAGGGAGGAAGGGTGCTAGTTTGTGTTTTGTTTTTACAAAGTGCAGGTATTTATCAGGCTGGTCATTGAGCGCACCAAAACGTAGCGCCTCACATTTCCACTCCTGGGTACGCCCCCTCCCCCCACCGCCGCTACCCCAGAGGGTTGCAGGAGTCATGGCTGAGAATCCATGGTGCCTGGTGCTGCTGTTCCTAATAGCCAAGAACCAGACAAACCCAAGAGGCTGTCAGCAGAGGGGTCCATAGTGGCGGCCTATTTCAGGGAGGGAATAGCGGGCAGCTACGTCAGGCTGAAAGCAAGTCCCCATGACTGGAGATCGTGTGACGCTCAGAGGCCACTCTGTGGAGCAATGTGCTGTCCAGACACAAACAGGGCTCTGGTGAGAACACGCTTTTAAAAGAAGCGTAACCACTGCCGGCAAGTCGACTTCGACTTGCAGAGGCCCCAGCGCGCACAGGAGAACTGCTCCCCGGGGTTTCGGAGACTGAAGCCTCTACGGGAGCAGCCAGCCTTGCCTCTCCTCTGGGGAGCAGCTGGGGGGTGGAATCGTGGTTAGCTTATCCCATGGTGCCAACAGAGCTCCTTAAAAGAAGCATTACAATGAAAAACAAAAACCACGCTGCCCTTGACCACCTGGGGCTCACAGTGCCCTGTACAGGGTTTCCGAGGCTGTGAACCTCTGTGGGCGCAGGCAGCCTGGTCTGTCCCGGAGGCTAGCAGTGCTGCTACCAGGGTGCCCTGCGAGAAGCATAAGGCGATGAACACAAACCTCCAGGGAAGGGGCTCCCTCGGTGGAGGGAGGCAGGGGATGAGGTGGGGAGGACCCCAGAAAGGGAGGAAAGTGACCCGTTCTCCAGTTGGCTGGGATGTGTGGGTGTTAATTTACTACTTGTGATTACATGAGGAAAAACAAGACAGAAGGTCTTTTGGGGTACACCGACCACCGTGAGTACTAAACCCAAGATTGAGATTCACCCATACTGGTTTTGAGGTCCAATGACCTCACATGAAAAGGCGAAAGTGCTAACAAAAATAAACATCACGCCCACACTAGAACTCATATGCACCTCTCCACCCAAAGGAGCACAGACACAATGACTGTCTATCATAACCCGGGCCTCCCGGGTACAGCCGCACAGTGCTGGCTGTGCTCCGTCCTCAAACACCCTGCTGTGTGGGGAAGGGAGAAGTCTCCGATACTGAGGTGGCCAGACCTGGGGTCACATCCCTGCTCTGCCACTTGCTAACCAGGAGACTTGGGAAAGTGACTCCTCCTCTCTATCTCCCCGCTTGGCAGGACCTGTGAGAGGAAGATTAGGGATTACGTAAACGTCTGTGTGAACAAGCATGTTGTGTGTGAAGGCTATGAAAACAGACCTGTGGAACCAAAAATAACGCCCCAAACTGCCACCAATTGTTTCTGACTCTTATCAACCCAGCGCTCTAGGGTTTCCAAGGCACTGAATCTTTATAGGCATGGACAGGCCTCCTCTTTCTCCCACGGAGTAGCTGGTGGGTTTGAACTACTGACCTTGAGGGGAGCAGGCTGACGTTTACCCAACACCACCACCAGGGCCCCTAATGAACTGATAGGGATGCCAAAAGCCTGTTGCACTGTAGGTGTTGCATGTGTTTGTCACGTAAGTCGAGTGCAAAGCAGGCTTTGTGGTGATGCCAGTTCCTCCCTGGGTGGGAGTGCCATCCTGGTGACATGCGCTCTCACTGGGCACTGGTTGCTCGAGTCCCACCAGGGTGCAGAGGTGAATGAGCATCAGTCCTTGTGTGAACATCAGGGGTGGTGGAGTCATAGTTGTTAGAAGGCCCCGGCTTGGATGAGCCGTCTTGTGACAGGCCCATCATGCTCCTTGCACAAGTGGCGGATCCCTACCTGCAGGAAGGTGAGGGCAGCTCTCTGCAGCAGGCACTCTGCATAGCAGACTTCAGCGTGGATTTCCTCTGCAGGTACAAAACCAAGGCCCTGAAGCCTCCTGGGGTCTGGGCAGGAGTTGTAGGCCAAATCCTCCCCATCTCCACTTCCCAAAAGGCAAAAGGGGCTGAGCCAGCCATGTATCGAGCCCACCTCCCAGACCTGGCTCCTTCCTAGCATGCACCACTGTCTGAAGCAGGAGGTGGCTCCCCCCTGGGTCCTTGCCCACCCAGCCCTGTTCTGCTCATTACATGGGAGCTGTGGACCCAGCCCCTCCAGGCAGTGCTGGGAAGGGGGAGGCCCTAGGTTGACTGGGTGAAGGGAAGAACGCCCACTCATGCAAGCCCCAGGGCTATGGGGAAAAGGGAGGAGAATCCGGAGGATGGACATTGGAGTTGGGCCATGTGGGGTGAAAGACAAATGAAGGACCAGGAGGAAAGGCCTCCTCTGTAGGGACCCAGGGAAACCAAAGCCGTCGGATGTTTGGGGACAGAAAGCACTCAAGGCAAAAATCACTGCCATCGAGTTGAGTCTGACTCAGTGATCGACAGGACAACACAGAACAGCCCCGAGACTATAACTCTTTATGGGAGTAGAAAGCCTCATCTTTCTCCCAAGGAGCGGCGGTGGTTTTGAATGGATGACCTTGTGGTTAGCAGCCCAGCACATAACTGCTATGCTGCCAGGGCTCCTAGGTGAGTCACAGAAGGTGTCTGAAGTAGGGGTGTGGCAGGGAGATGTTCTGGGGCCAGGAGAAGAAGAGGTGCAGCAGATAGCTGTGAAGGGCCCTAGCCGCTGTGCATGAGGGTGGTGTGTTTGAGTGGGGACCTTCAGGGGCCCTGGAGATGGGCAAGGCTGTCTGTCCTGCACTGAAAGAGCCCCAAGCCACCATGGCTGGTTACTGCCACTTCCGGTGCTGCCTCCACAGGCAGGCAGGGCACAAAGGTGCCATTGAGAGCATGGCAGCCAGGCCCTCTCTCCCACTGCTGCCTCCCCTTGTGTGTCGGCTGGCTTCTGGAACCACATCCCCAGGGGCAGGCACGAATCCCAGCCGTGAGCCTGACTGCACACATGATGCTCAGCCCAAACCGAGGAAAGAAGGGACCTGCTGCCGCTCTTCCTTTCCTCCCTGTGCAGCTTCTCAGCCGTCAGGTCCATGGGCTCACCTGCCCTCATCACCCGCACCTGAGAGCCACTCCTGGAGAGGCCCAGGTCGGACCCTTTCATGTCCCAGCAGCCAGGCCAGGCCCCCTCAGTGGTGAGGGGGAGAATGATGCCCCTTCCCACCCTTCCTGGGCCTGGTGCAGGGCTGCCGGGGTGAGAGGGGTGGGGATGACACCCCAGGGCCACACCTTCTGTGAACTGGTCCATGGTGGTGCGGTGCACAAGGCTGCTGAAGGAATCCGTTACGGAGGACTTCTTCCGGTGCCTGGAGGGGGAAGGGGGTCTCCGGTCATTCCATGAGGGAGGGGAGATAGGGGAGGGCAGTGGCAGGTCACCTCACTATTGGAAGAAAAGTCGTAGGGAGGCTGGGCTCATAGAAAGAACAAGGATTTGGGGGTCAGACAGAGAAAGGTTGATATCGTAATCCAAAAAGGTTACCTTACCTCCCTGGGATAGTTTCCTCCGTCGTACAAGGTGGTGCGGAAGGTGAGCCGGCACCAGGGCCAGTGGGATCATGCTAGCAGGCAGCTTATGCACGCCAACACCACTGTGCAGCTGGGGGAGCTGTTGGCAGTCCCCAGCCTGCCCTGTCTCTGGGTCCCTCTCCTTAGCTCAGGTCTCCCTGGGCCTCAGCTGCCCTGCCACCCCGCCCCCTAGGGCTTGGTGCGGGTTCACCCTCCACCTGTCTGCAGGGAAAATTTTCTCAAAGACTTGCCCCTGCTCAGGGTCCTTTTGGCTCTGCACTAGCCCCAGCCTGCAGCCTGGGTGCTTGGTGTGGTTTCTAAGGCTCACCGTTTCTGACTCTCTCCCAGGGGACTCTCCTGCTATAGTAAACTGACAGTGAGTGCCCCCACCCAGCCCCCCACCAAACATGCAGGGTTCTCTCATACCTCTTTCTCTGCTGTCACCTCTGCTTGGAGCCTCGGCCCTTACCCCTCTGCCCTGGATGGCTCCTAGCCACCCTTCAGGGCCCAGTTCAGCGATCACCTCCTCCAGGAAGCCCTTCCTGCTCCTCAGTGGGAGCCTACAACCCCTTGAGTTTCCTTGCACCACATTGCGATGTCACAGCCTGTCTCCCTGACATGGTGGCAAGGGGGCGCGGGTGGCCTGACTCTGATGGTCCCCTGAGAAGCCAATGGCCAGCATGAGCCTGACCCAGGGCTAGAGTATGTGCCTCTGGCCAAGACCACTCCCCTGGAGTCTGCTGGAACCTTCCTTCACGGCGCTCATGTGCACTAAGCACCCCCATCGCACCAGGCCTCTGTGGGTGTCCTCATTCCGTCCCCGCCCCCCGCCCCCCGACAATCCTGCGGTGCCTATACTAGAGGGCTTCAAAAAGTTCATAGGAGGAACAGAAAGATCATGGGATTTTTCCCGAGAACTTTTTGCAGCCCCTTGTATCATCACACCTATTCTACAGATGAGGAAAGCCGGGCTCAGAGAATAACTTGCCCAAGGTCAAGGAGTTAGCCAGAGAGGAGAGTCAGAATTTGTTTCCACCAGTCTGCCTGGCCTCTGGAAGCCAATAGGACCCCTGAGGAGGTGCTGCTTGCAGGGCGGGCACTTGGGGACACAACCTCTGAGTCCGAAGGAGCAGCACTGAGAGTGGCACTTTAGGCCCTGGGGTCAGCTATGGTAACAGAAGGCAGGCCTCACCCCCCGTGCACCCTCCCATGACGCTGACCTCTGACACAAGGACTGCGCCTCCTTCATCATGTTGCCAGCAAGCAGGATGTCCTGAGGGTCAAAGGTCATCATGGCCTGCATCTCCAGGATGGTAGCATAGGTCAGCGAGTGGTACATGCTCTCCTTGGTTCTGCCGGAGAGAAGGGGCGGGAGAACCCCAGAAGGAGCTGGCCCTCACGTCACCCATCTGCCACCCCTCCCCGAGTCTACAGATGGAGAAACTGAGGTCCAGGAGGGGCGGGGACTTGCCCAGGGTCTGATTCTTTCGTTGACACCCAAAGTCTTCCACTCGCCTTCCCTGCTCCCCTTCTCTTCTTGCTGAGTGGCCCTAAGTGGTCCTCCCCCTCCTGGCCTCAGGGCCTCACCTGCTTGGTTCAGGGTGCTGAGGGATGGCAGCCTGATGACACTTAGCAGTATGTCGGCCTGACAACCACCCTTTCCGGTTCCAAGACCCTGACTCTTGCGTTCTGCCCCGCCCTCCGGCAGGCTGGGTGCAAGTCCTAACCCCACTCTTCAGTGGGGTCCTCCTGGAGCCCCAGGCCTGCCTCATCCTGGCTTCCAGGAGATCCAGCGGCAGCCTCCCCACCAGCCACTGTCTTCCTATCATCCTCTGGTGAGACCCTTGGGGCTTCCACATCCCAGGAGATGACGGATACACCAGATGCCCGCCTCCCAGCCTCCTGTCCCTTCTGGCCTGAAGTCTGGAGTCAGCCACACTGTCCCACACAGGCTGGCTCCCAGCAAGTCCAGCCCAAGCCTTTGGCCTTGCCATCTCCTCAGCTTGAAATGCGCTTCCCTTTGCCACCCCTCACAAGATCATCAGTCAAGGCTTTCAAATGCCCGGGAGGCCACTGGGAATCAGAGGTCCCTCCTCCAGGATCACATTGTCTCCCAATAACTCGGGTACTGGACACTCTGAGCGTGTAGTGGCCGAGGCCTCAGCGGGTTCCCCAGATGTGTGCAGAGCTTGGGGGTGCCTCCCACCAGGCCCAGAACAGCGGTGGCAGGAGAGGCTGCATCCATCTCAGCAAAGGCCAGCCTCCCCTGAAGTCAGGCCATGGGGGAATGTTTGCTCGAACACAGTGGGGAGCAGTAACTCATCTCCCCCTGGACTGGGCGGGAAGGGGCCGAGGTGAGCCTTAACATATCTGGGCCTTGATCTCCACTTCTGCAAACTAGAGACAGCGTGTGGGGCTGCCCGGGAATGATCGTACCTGGCACACAGTGGGTACTGCAGCTGCTTCCTGCCCTCCACCTTCATGCCCCCCTTCATTAATTATTTTCTGAACGCCCAGTGCCAGGCTTATGCTGGGCATTTGGAAGAAAGCGAGGGGACGAAGGTCTAGAGCAGGGGTCCTCAACCTTCCTCATGCCACGACCCTTGAATACAGTTCCTCATGTTGTGGTGACCCCCCGACTATAAAATTATTTTCGTTGCTACTTCATCACTGTCATTTTGCTACCATTATGAATCAGGTAACCCCGTAAAAGGGTCATTCGACCCCCTTGGTGACCCCTGTGAAAGGGTCACTCAACCCCCCAAGGGGTCACAACCCACAAGTTGAGAACCGCTGGACTCGAGGCTGCTTCGTCCCTCCTTGGGGACTCATAAAACACTCTGTAAATTAGTTTAGGGGCTTTGGCTTGTTTGTTTGTTTACCTTCTGGGTACCCCTTGGTGAAAAGGGTTTCTCAAGGAAACAAAAGGCTGGTGCCCCTCCTCCTCGGCCCTGCTAGCTTTGGGGAGGGACACCTCCTAGTCTGTGCTGGGACCATGGCAGCTCTGGCTCACAGAAGGGAGACGAGCCTCCGGCTTCAGACAGGGGTTGAAAGCTTGGCTTCCCCAGCTCTCAGCTGTGTGCTCCTACTAAGCCTTGTAGGTTTTCTGAGCTTCAAAACCCTACCAAGCCTTCTCTTTGTGGGGCTGAAAGTGGCTTACATAGGATGCCCAGGCCAGGGCCAGACCTCAAGTCTCAGGAGCCACTCTCCCCTGTATTAAAGGCCTCCTCGGGAAGGGCTTCCCTGGCACCATAAAGCCCACCACCACCACCCTACTCAGCCTGCCCCCCCCCACTCCGCCTTTCTCTGCCTCCCCATTCAGCCCGGACTTGGCTGGAGGGCTGGCCCCACCCAGGAAGCTGGCAGACAAAGTGGAATTTCTAGTCGAAGGCCCAAGGCCTTGACATGCACCTGTGGCTGAAAACCCTGGCCCCTCCCCGACCCACTACTTGGAAGCCCCCCATCTCAGCCTGGCCTGGGAACCAAGGTACAGGGAGATATGACAACCCTGGGGACTCCCCACCCCACTGTTTAGTTTCTCCCCACCGGGCTCTTGTCTGCAGCCAGATCACCAGGGACAACAGTTGTCAACCCAGACTCAGACCCGGTTCTGGGACCGGATACCTGCTCCGAGGCGATCCGGATGGAGAGGGGCTGAAAGCACCTTCAGAAGACCAAGTGTCAGGACCAGGACTCCGGGGTCACGGGGGTCAGCTAAAACCAGTGGCCTTCGGACCTTTCCTCCTTGGCTGACAGCCACGCTTGAGGTCCTTATCACTTTCTTATCAGCCTACTGTCTCCCCCTCTCCACTATGGGGGCCTCCTTGCTTGTCTCCCTCCCCCAATACACACAAACAGCTCCTAGCTGGGAATAGCCCCTATGACGGTCCCCTGCCCCCCCAACCCCCCTAGTTCCAGCATGGCGCTCCCTGACCCCAGAAGCACCTCCTAAATCCTCATTAAACCCGTGGCCCCAGCAATCTATCTTCCTTTCTGGCCCAGACCATCCCTCCACCGAACCTTCCTCTCACTTCTCGACCTGCCTGGCTCGCCACCTTCCAGTCAGGCACAGCGTCTCCACACAGGCCTGCGGGCTCTTCCCTCTGCCTGGCGCGCTCTCAAACTCCCCTCCATCTGACTGCCTCCTTCCCATCCAGCTGCCCCTGCTGAAATGCCACTTTGTCCAGGAAGCCTTCCAGGGCTGGTTTCTGCGGGGACCCCACATTGGACACCAGGCTTGGTTTACAGCTCTGCTATCACCCAGAAATTCTTAAGAATTTTTGGAGAGGGGACGCACCTTTGCATTTGGAGATGGGGCCGCAAATTGTGTAGCCATCCCTAAAAGCTTCCCCGAGTAGCCCTTTCACCCTTCCAACTTGGGGTCCCTCTGGGATATCTCTGATCACACCTTCACGCTAGTGCTTTGCTTTGTTCACTGCTTCCCTGCTGGGTCCAGCGTGTGGAGGGCAGCCACAGGATGCCGCTAAGTGAACCGCTGATGGTTGCCTCACTAACCGCCCACATCCAAGGATCATGCCCCAAACCTCGTCATCGTCACATGGAATGACTGCTTCCCAACCCTTCTGCCCATGACTCCCACACCTCTGTCCCCCATTTCCATCCTGGGTCTCTTTCTGCCCTTCGACTTAGCTTCCTCATACACCCACTCATTTGTCTGGGCAGTCTAACCTTCTAGTCTCTGCTGCACCCAGTGAGGGACCTCAGCCCAGGGCCCACACTCTGCCCTTGAGTGACACAGGAGAACACCCACAGAGAGGTCACCACCCTGAGCCGGGTGTGTGTGTGTGTGTGTGTGTGTGTGTGTGTGTGTGTGTGTGAGCCTGTCCGACCCAACTTGTACTTCTAGTCTCTGCTGCACCCAGTGAGGGACCTCAGCCCAGGGCCCACACTCTGCCCTTGAGTGACACAGGAGAACACCCACAGAGAGGTCACCA